TAATAAAGAATAATAGTAATTATTATTACCATCAATTAGAAACAGAGTTTGGTAAATTGGGATGGGAAAACAAACCTATGAGTTATTCGGTACAAGTGGTAGCACATTCCAGAAGAACACAGGAAGAACTGCTGGGTGAGTCGAGTCAAAATGGTGTTTAGAGGAGCTGCATGGATTGGCAAACTCCCACCATGTATAAAGTCCGGACCAGTCAACTGTTCATCAAGCAATTAACTTACTTACCTTGCAGACCAGTAACATCAAGCAATTAACTTCCTTTGCAGACCATGTAACATTCCTGTGTTTTCCACTAACAGTCACACAGAATGAATGAGTGAAATAAACATATGCAGATCTTGTAACAAAGGATTCTCCAGTTCTAATCAATAATGCAAATCAGAAATGAAAACATACCCCCAGAAGTGAATAAAAACAAATTACTACCGAATCTTAAAAAAAAAAAAAAATCTAGCAAAATAGCATAAATATATTACTAAAAAAGAACTATCAAAAATTGCAATGCACCACACTATACCAATCAGCTTTAAGGAAAGCATTTAAGATAAATACAACCCTGCAATTACAGTAATAATAAACAATAATAAGTGAGACACACAGGTAGACATACATGCTGAACAGGTATAGGATAATGTATGAGCAGATATGAAGGAGCTTTGGAAAGTCTGTGGAAACATGGAATTGGGTTGCCACAAGGATAACATGATTTAATATAAATCCCCAAGAGCAAGGACTTAGATTTTTACCTGTTTCATCACTGTGTATCTTAACACATAATGCACAATTACTTATGTAAGTAAATAAATACATGAATAAGGGAATGAAAGGCATGTAGTGTCTTACACCTAGTAAATTTAGAAGACACTCATCCCCAATTTTCTTACTTCATAAAAAAGATCATGGAATTTTCTTGCAAGCCCTTTGAAGCCCCCTTGTGTAGGTGTGGCAAAGGATATTTCTAGATATGCTTCTGTACGGGCTGGAAATGGAGCCATGTATACAGCAGAGCAGAGGGAGAGCATAGAGGGAGTAAAGTTATGAACACTTCGTGGTTATAAGCACAAATTTGAGGACCTGAGGCACAATGGATTGGGGCCACAGACTCTGGGGGCCATCACAGCACTGAGACTTGGGGCCATTTACTCTCGGAGATATCACAGCACTGAGACTTGGGGCCATGGACTCTGGGGGACATCACAGCACTGAGACTTGAGGCCATGGACTCTGGGGGCCATCACAGCACTGAGACTTGGGGCTATTGACTCTCGGGGCCATCACAGCACTGAGACTTGGGGCCATAGACTCTGGGGGACATCACAGCACTGAGACTTTGGGCCATGGACTCTGGGGGCCATCACAGCACTGAGACTTGAGGCCATTGACTCTCGGGGCCATCACAGCACTGAGACTTGGGGCCAT